ACCTGGGCAGGTCCCAGGGAACCAGAGACATGTCTAGATGTCTCCACTACTGAGATGGATATATACTCTCTCTCTCTCTGCCTGGGGTTTGAATATTTTGTTTTTAATAATATTTAATCTTTAATACTGATTTTTATATTTTTATAATGACTGTCTTATATATGTGCTGTTTGTATTTGATTATTGTAAGCCGCTCAGAGTCACTTTTCGTGAGATGGGTGGCCATATAAATTTGATTAATAAATAAAAATAAAATAAATTCTCCATAATGCAATGCCATTTGGGTAGAAGGAGTATCAATGCAACAGAGTGAAGCAATGCATCTCTATTAGTATGGGCCACTCTGTATGTAAAGATTTTATTTTATGCACTTTTTTTTGTTCCCTACCTCTCCACCCATGCATACATGAAGACTGTTCTGTCATCACGTCTAGAAAGATCATTGGCCACCCAAGTAAACTTGCAGGTTGCCATACAGTCAAGATTTGGCAAGCAAGTGAAAAGGCATTCCAAAGAGGACCATATATGTAAACTGTTTGTGAGTACTGGAGGTCAATCAAAGACTCCCAAAAAAGTGCAAGGAGAAAAATATTGGAGGGAAAACATTGGAACTGGAGGCAGCATCAGTATTCAAGAGCTAGGAGCAGCATGAGTGGATATACTTTTCCTAGCAGCAAGAAGGAACAAGTCTCAGTGGCTCAAGATATCCACGTTGGTGAGTAAGATGGCAGAATTCCAGAGCAACACTATAGAGAAAGAAGGAGCAGCAGTGTGAGAAGAGGCATCTGATTGTGTAGGCTAAACAAGAGTTAAAACAAGTGGGTAGCAAAGAAGATGAGCAGTCGAGAAGTAGCAGTCCTATTCCTATAGCAAAAGAAGGTCGTGGTTTTGAAAAGGAAGCAGTAGCTAAAAAGGCCCGGATACTGACATTTATCCCTGAGTTGTAACAATGCTCTCCCCTAGAGAATCTCTAGGAGACTCGAGCTAGAAAAACCCAGGTGTCTGTGATGGAGGGGCGGAAATAGTTCCTACAGGAAAGGGACAGTAGAATTATCAGAAAAAGACTACAGGAAAAAATTGAATTATAGAATAGGTAATAGAAATGGGATATATGGTTAGAGAATCAAAATTGGGATAGAATAAGAATAAAATATAGGACATACAATATATGCAATGTAAGATAAAAACTAAGAAATTAATAGAATCATTAGAAATGAAAACTCACAGTAGTTAATTTTAGAAGAATCCCTTATTTTTGTAATCCACTGATATAATTTGCTTTTTTTTTTTTTTTTAACTTTCTTTGTGGTAACAAAACTACTTGTCTGGAAAAGGAGGTCTTAGTGTGATGTCTGAGCTGTGCCTATGATGACTTATAGGACTATATCAATTTCCTTGACTTAACATGGATAATTCCATTTAGAGCTTAAAATATATTGCTGTATTATTATTTCCTTTCATAAACATTGAGAGTAAGGCAATTAGCCAAGTTAAGGGGAAAGGTCTTTGATATAGGCAATGCTAAATAAATACTTTAAAAAATTAAATAAATAATTAGCAAGACACCACTGACTTTATGCAAGACTGATTTAATTGAATGGGACTTAACTTACTATTTGAACTTTATGTGTCTTCTTCTTGCTCTACCTTCTTTGAATACTTGCATTCCTTTTTTTTTTTCTAATAATATTTGCAACTTTTGCCCATACCGTCAAGATATTTTTCAGTTACGTATTACACTAGAACATATCTCCTGATGGGGAAAAAAAAACCGCTACCAGATACTTAGCAATTTAATCCATATTAGAATATGTGTACAAGTTATAGGCATTATTGGGAGTGATGTGGGAGCAACATTTGCATATTTTGCAATTACATCTAACCTCAGAAATATATTTTGTGAGAAATTTTACCTTGAACGATAGACTACAAATCTAGTAAACATTACATTGTAAGTTGTACAACAGAGACATTTAAAAAGTCAACAAAAATATTAAATGGATCATGATAAAATGGTGTAAAAACAGACTTAAAGCTTTATGATATTGTGTAATTCTTAATATTTTATGTTTTCACATTTGTGGAAAGACGTCTGTGGCTAAAATATTGTTTTATTTCCAGAGCCGAATGGTTGTTTACTTATTTAGACTTTATGATACTGCTTGCTAATTGTCATATTGAATCCATTTTGTATTCATATGGGTACCATATGATTTTTAAGAAAGAATTCAATAAGCTATTTTGACATTTAAATATATCATTGTATGACAAAATGATTCCTGTACTGTAAATATGTTTACACTTCCCAACTGCAAGCATAATAACAATATCATGTAATCTTATCCAAAAATGTGTTTTACTAAAAACTAGGCCTATAAGCTTAATAAATAGAGCGTATGGCTTTTGTAAAATTCTCAAATTTTGTCAGGGAGAATCAATATAACTAAAAAAAAATACATTTATAATGACATATGTTTTTGTAAGCTGGGGTCAGAATTTGCCAGATGGCTGAGATGTTATCTTCCTCAGCTGGTACCCTCAAAGAAAGAGTCCTGAAAACAGGCAGAAAGATGGTAGAAATGAAGGATAATGGATTTTATCCAATAACTAATGGGACTTTTCCTTCCTTCCCTCTCTTTGCAACTCTACAAGACTCTTCCAAATCTGTTCCAGAGTCTCCCTGTTCCTTGGAATAAACTTAGGGACTATGCAGATATTACAGATTGGAATTTCTTTGTATCAAATGACACAGTTGACTATATTATTGTAATGTGTGGTTAAAATACCCACAGGTATATGGCAAAAATTTTGGATTTTCTCATTCTTTTCCATCCCCTGCTTTTTGTTACATCATACCTGATTAAGAGTTTGGAGAACTCAAAAGTTTGCATAACATTTAAATCATTGTGATTGATCTAATCACAGTATTGCCCAAATGTTGATTTTTTAAAAATGGTTGAATATGATTACTATTCCTTTTTATATATTAATATGGTTACACTTCTCAATTTAAGAGAGGAATAATCTTAATTTTCTGATTAAACTTGGATTAAACTAGTTATACTCAACAGTCAAAAGGAAAAAACCTACAAAAACATAGGGAATGCTCCATTGCCATCACTGATACCATGAACATGAATGAGAAGTTACATTCATGCTGAATAAAGAAGGCATCAGGACTTTGCAGAATTGGTTTTTTGAGAAAGGAGATGCCTTGGAGTTCATACTTGTCCCAACAATTATTCATGTTTCTTTCTATAAATTTGTCTTACACTTCAGTAATATTTATTAATTTGCCACATTTGTAGGCCACTTATCCTGTAAGACTTATCCTGTATCAGATGGGTCATTTATGGAAGATGGTGCTACTTTCAATGTTACAATCAACTTGCAAGACCGCAAGAGATCCCCCACAGTCTGGGAAAGAGTGCAGGAATGTAAATGGATTGTCTTAGAATAGCTTTCTTTGCTTATGCAAAAGTGTTTATTTTTCTAATTGAATACAGCTTTGTAGCTGGGCTGATGAAAATGGGCTTTTTAATTTGCTGTTATGGAAGCCTCGCCAGGTCTCACAAGATGCTCCATAAAAGATTGTGGTATCTATGCTGAGAAAGGTTGCCTGTGGTGATCCTGCCCTTTGGGGATACCCAATCTCCTCCATACCATAGCTTCTTCTGCACCACCAAGCAAGGTTTTAATGTTATAAATGAGTTATAATTTAATTGTTGTACACAAGAGTCACCTTGTGTGAGATGGGTGGCTATATAAATATGAAAAATAAATATATAAATATAATAAATAAATAATAAAACATTTTATTCAAGCCAGTTAGATACAACTGAAGTGCTGTATAAGAGGAAGGAAGGAAGGAAGGAAGGAAGGAAGGAAGGAAGGAAGGAAGGAAGGAAGGAAGGAAGGAAGGAAGGAAGGAAGGAAGGAAGGAA